AAAAGAAACAAGAGACCATTTTACCGTTGTCTACTCAGTGACTTGGCCTTTGAATGGCAGCGAGGCTGGAGGTGAACTAGTTTTTAATACAGACCTCACTGCTTTTGTTGTGTAAATTAAGTTGTTTTAATGCTCACTTGGTGAATGTCAAAGGCTAGGTCACCAAGCAGAACACTATTAGATAGTCTGTTCTCCTCAAAGTGTACCAAATAAGATAACCAACACATCAACCCAATGATGGCTATTCGTAATCTAAACATAGTTTGTTGGTAATTTTGTTGCTCCTTCTGCTCTAAAAACTAGTTACATTTTTCCAAAATGGTTGTTGGAAAATGCGAGATCAAACATTTCAAACATTTCTCGTTCACTTGGCATTTTTGTAATCAGTGGCCCTCTTGGCAGCACCAATGTGTTTGTGCAGGGATGGGCACTTGGAAGATAGCAAACAGATTCTTCAGTTTCTGTGGACTGGATATAAACAACAATGTTATGATGTAGTGAAATAAAGAAAATTACATAAATGTATCTTAGTTGTCTAGTAAATAAAGTACAGAAATAGAACGTAGAATGATAAAAAAGATTTCTAAAACTGATCATTTAATTAAGCAACAGCGCTTACTACTCTTTTTTAGGTAATAAAAGTGCGATAACATAATTATTTATCGCCAAATGCCAGACAAAACACTCGACACATGCCTGCATGAGAAGCTAATCTTGCGGACAAAACTGATGGCGGGAAGCATTGGCCTCTCTGTTTTGGCCGCGCTCGCCCCAGGAAGATTGAATGAATTTCTTGAGGATTGCATTGGATATGTTTTTGAGTGGATTGAATAACTATGTTTCCATGATTGGATTGAATAGATGTTTCCGTGATTGGACTGAATAAATATTCACTCTTATTAAATTAAACTGAAAAACATGGGTTTGAATTGAATGCTTTTTCGGATTGCTTGAATATGTTTAGAAGATTGAATTAAATTGTATCACGCTAAAATGATTGATTGAATAAATATTTGACTTGATTGAATTTTGCTACAAACAGCGTGCCATATGGGAGTTAAAGGGTTGAACAAGGTCTTAAGTATGCAGTCTGTGTTATATCCACTGAGTAGTCTCTGCCAATATCATAGACTAACTGACAAGTAAATAGGGTAGCTTTAGAATAAGATAATTTTTTTTCATCAACTGAGTTGATAAAATGTGACTTGGCCAAATAAGGAGTTTTTAAAACTGACCTTTTATTCTGACAAATGGCTTATGCTTGTAGTATCAGAGTTAAAAATAACTTTCTGATGGCCAATTTACATTATCAACACAGTTGATAAAACCAAATTATTTTGCAATACCCCCACCAACACAGCACCACAGGTCCTCTAGAAACTCACCTCCTTTGTTAACTTTATAGATGTGTAAGAAAAGTAAGTTTGTCTGGACATTTCACTGCTTCCTACCCCAACCCTGCAGGAGACAGGACCTCCATTTATTCGTCCCTATCCGAGAAGACTAGAATATCTAACCATTTCTTGATGTTATAGAAAGGCAGTAAATTCTTCTCAATTATTTTAAGACCCTGAGTGTTGGTCCTGCCAGGGCTCGAACCCTCGACCTCACGCACAACAGTCCAGCTAACCAGGAGGCGGTTTTGTTGCTCAAATTCCATCTTGACCTAAGCCAATGAACAAGGAATGCTAAAACAAAATGAACAATCAGATTTCTGGCATTGCATAAGTACCCAATCAAAATTGGAGAAAAATTGTGTACAATTTCAGACCAAGTTGAACTCCAATCAGTTAAATTAGCACCACTTGTTTACCTTGTACCAGGCAGATACCTGAAACCAAGTTGCCAACACTAGCCAGAGTCCCACTCATTAATCCTGTAATGGGCAGATACCTTAACTGAAGTGGATGCTAGCCACAGTTCCACTTTAAACCTGTACTGGGCAGATACCTCAAATGAAGTGGCCAACACTGGCCAGAATCCCATTCATTAATCCTGTACTGGGCAGATACCTTAAATGAAGTTGCCAACACTAGCTAGAGTCCCATTCATTAACCCTGTACTGGGCAGATACCAATCCCATTCATTAACCCTGTACCTTAATCCAAGTGGACACTAGCTGGAGTCCCACTCATTAAACCTGTCCTAGGCAGATACCTTAAACCAAATGGCCAACAATAGCTAGACTTCCACTGATTAACCCTACACTGGGCAGATACCTTAACACAAGTGGCCAACACTAGCCCAAGTGCCACTGGTGTTCACTTAACAAAGGTTTCATTGTGCAAATATTCCAAGACTTTGTTATACTTTAATAACTCCCTGAACAGTAGACTGGGTGCTTTATAACACAGTTGATTTTGCTAACAAGGCACAGCAATCCAAGAGAGTCATAGTTGAGTACACAGTGTAAGAACACATCAACAGAGCCATTTTTGTTTCCCTTTTTTCTGCTTTAATGCTGCTTTCTTTTAAAGAAATTTACAAGGTATAATTGTGTTTGGTCTGTTACACTATTACATAGTAAAAATAAAATTCCAATTTTCTCAAAACATGACAAGCTATAAATTTCCAATGGTTTTTCTGGTAGACTATACAGGAAGCAAAGTCTTCAGTTAACAAATATTATTCCAATTGCTGAAGCAGTTGAAGTTGCTTTAAAACTTTGCTCTGACTTGTCTCTCTGATTTCCCCAGCTAAAAACATCTCATCAACAACAGAATATACCTGATTGCAAGATTGAAACAATATAAACAGATTAGCTACAGAAAGATACAGTTTTTAAACTCAGTCTTTGAAGATTGTCTGTAGTAATGCAGGATTTTCTTTCAAAGCATGATATCATAACAGGGTGAGACTAAAATGAAAAGATAAGGTTGCCCTTCGGGCAAGCTGTTACTTGAGATTACTAGCCCGAAGGTCTGAGGAGCTAGCCCGAAATAAAATTGTTTATAAAGAATGATTAGATTTATTTAATTATGCAAAATACAAGTAATAATGCCAAGCATAGATATAAACTAATTCTTCATATATTTTGATTCTTGAATGTGATTTTTGGCCCTAGTGCAATTTACATTTAGAACATAGCTAGCAGAGTCGTGCAGTCAAATTCATTATACGTAAGCGTGCTCAAAATCCCGATAGTGCACGCTAAAGCATGAACCAATTGTTCAATAATCAATGCAGTTAACGCACCTGTATTACACTTGTTTTGCTATGTAAGATCAGAATATTTTTATAAATTGCAAATGACTGCTTCAGAGCAAAATTTCATTCAAACATGGGCGAAATAATAAAGGAAAAATAACCTCTGCTCTGGAATGGGTTGGTTCCTTCCATGTTTACATTTTACCCCGTTGACGGTGAAAAATACTATAAATTTATGGAAATCACCACACAGTTATTTTTGTGAATGTCATGAACGTTGCGATCAGCCAATTAAACTACCACTGTAATCTGAAGTCTGTCGACATTCGCTGGAGGAAATTCTCTCCAAAGCTCTTCAAGCTGACAAACTCTTCCAGACCTGGCGCCGTTAGCATCCGATAAAAAATAAAAACAAACACGCAACTTGATAATGGTGCCAGGTCTGCTAGCTTTTCTCCAAGCGAGTTTCTTCTTGTTTTTAAATTTTACACGAAGTGCACCTTTTTTGTTTTAATGAATTGGCAGCCTTAAAGAATCCGGATTTGGATTTTCCCAATGAAACACACCAAAAATTCCAAGAAAATCACACTGCACACTGTCAGTCGGCAAATATTGTCATTTCAAAAAATATATTTTGGCCGCTTATGTAAAACGAAAAAGTCATGACATTATTTACAGAAGCAACTAAAGTGTGGCGCAAGACGTTATCATGCTACGACAATTTGGCCTCATAACATTGTCCTTTTCCCTCAGGAGCTTTCTGCTAAACAGTTTTGGTATAAAAGCTCAATAATTTATCATCATCACAACAGAGGAACCAATGGTGGTGCTTGCCCGTCGGGCAAGCTGCGATAAGAAAACACTAGCCCGACAAGTCATTCCACTAGCCCCGGGCTATTGGACAGCACTTTCGTCGCGCCCTGTCATAATCCAATGCCAAGTCACAAAATATCATCAAGTTTCAAGATATTCACCCCAAATACACAGTAGGGATGGTGGAACAGGCATAGAGGCCATGGCCCCTTGCTTTCAAGGGTTATCAGCCACTTCCAAAATAGATGGGTCAGTGAAGTGATTGGGTGGAACAGACAAAAAAAAATTAAGCTATTATAGTAGGCAATGTAACTTTAGATAGTCCACATATTTTGTTCAATATCTAATACAGGATGAAATAGTTTTAGTGGGGTTTCACTTTGATCACAGAAGCTCTACACCTGTCCATTTCAGGCAAAGAGCAATCAATGCATTTTACTCATGAAGGTGTTTCATCTTTATTCAGTTGAAATAACCCTGTTACAGAGTTCTACAATATTCTCATCAAGATTTTAAAAGCATACTTGCAATCAGGTTTACCTTGTAGAAGTTAAACACTAAGTCCAGTTCACAAACATTATGGAAGAATTCGTTCAAGACCTGCAGGTGGGATTACCAATGTCATTTGATTTCAAAAAGCAGACATTTCTTATAGTTATCACAATTACAACTTACTCAAGATGTGTATGCACAACACTGTATACATCCTCAAAGACTTTACTGTAAGTTGCAGAAATCAGAATCAAATCATGACTTGAATGTTACAAGAGAAGCTTAAACATACCACCATTAGCCCAATGACAAGCATATCAATTTTAACATCAATCACTTAGGGGCAGTGGTTGGACTTCTTAGACCTACCCCTACCCCAGGTATCAATTTTGACAGCCATGGATGACACTTGGGGAGAGACACAAAAGAGACAAAAAAGAGGAAATCTTCCTAAAACCCTATATGATTTCAAATATGATTTGAATTTATGAGATTTAATGTTAATATCTTTCCTTACGAACCAGAGAGTATTGTACATTACAGTAGTATATAATGCAGACTGACAAACTGTGGACTGGAATGAAAATGAGGGACTCTCTGAAGTAAGTGAAAGTGAATGAAAGTGAATGAAAGTGAATGATTCGATACCTTACTAGCAGCATAGGCTGAATTGCTAAGGTTTACAGTGTTACTAAGGTTGAGATCGGATGTCAGCATTATCAGGCGCCTCTGGCAGCTGCTTTAGTCCATGTAAAGACCTCACCTTTTCCCCCCACACATCCCACCACAGGGAAGGACATCCATCACACAGTAATCTCGTGTGTGGGAAATTAACATCTCCTA